CCGACAGCTCAACATAATAGAAAACTGAAGACTGGCTGCTTCCTCAGCTGATAGATTGCTCAAGTTGTCACTGAAGGGATGCCCAGTGAGGCCATCCTTAGTTCTCTGTGTCTAAGCATGCATAAAACACAAATTTTGTTCTTTGCCACCCAGGATTTCAAAAAGTTGCTGCTTTAGCTATTAGGCTGCTAATTTGGTGACTACAAGACTAAAATAACTCCTCTTAGAAACTCAGCCTTGCCTTTAATACTCTAAGAGACCTAGAGAACTCAGAATAATTGTCAGTAAGCGTGTGCGCATGTGTGTGTGTCAGTCAGTAAATCCAACATAATTTGTACATGAATTGGTTCTCTCTTAATAAGGGAAATTTGGATTCAAAAACTTAGCTTCTGAAAAAGGATCCCTTATTAGACTTCCACAGAACTTTCAGGCTCTATGTTGTTTATAATGCAGAGTATTTTCTGTCAAACCACTCTGGTAGATGAAATGACAGGCTTCATTTTTGGATTGTTTTTGTTTAGTGCTTTCAGAAAACAGACGGATTGTATTTGGGGGATGTTCACTACCTAAGCTAGATCCTAATGTATTTTGGAATAGTATAATGTCACCTAGCAAATTCTTGTTTGGAAATGCAGAGGCATTTTGCAACATTCAAACACCCGGAACCTGGATAGAGGCTTTCACGTGAAGTGGACTGTTTTGTTCTAGTAGATAACCACCCTTTGTTCTGTATGTTGAGTAACTAACACCATATCTATGCCTTTATAAAGCTATTTTTAAATTTGAAACAAAAACACACACCATATTTTGAACCCAGGCTATTAGAAAGCCAACATAAACTGTGAAGGAAAACATCTGTCATTATTAATCACTAATGTTGTTGGCATTTGGAATTATTTTTCATATCTGTCTGTGGTGACTGGTGAGATAAATGATCTACAATAGAAGCCCATTGTTTGCACCAGTCCATGGACCACTGTAACACTTACTTCAGTGCTTCTCTGGATCTTTCATTTGCAAAAACCTCATGGGATTCAGTACCCCAATATGTTACATTGGTTAGGGTAAACAGAATTCTTGTGATGAAATCAGGGTAGTTTTATACCACAAGTGCTTTTTTGTTTTCAGAAAGAAAACTGTAAATAGTAAGTGGTAGTATTTTGATGACATAGTTTACCAATGCTCAGGGGAAAATGTTCTAAAAGAATAAAGTTGTAGAGCGGTTTCTGTATGCCTTCTTTCTGCCAAAATAAAAATGCAACAGGGTAGCCTTTCCCCCCAAATGATGAGAGAGCTTCTTCTGTAAGCCCTGTTGAGGAAGTGATTGACAGGTCAGGGCAAGAGCAAAATGCTGGTGAGTGAATCCTCACTCCCCAGGTTAACAAGCCACCACCAGCCCCTCTAAACTAATCCTCAGCCTGAGGGACAGAGTTACCAGTCCTACTAAGTGTTAATCAAGGAGTTAGCCCTGCAAGGTAGGACACTTGCAAGTTGAGTTCCAAAAACAATTATTTTGGTAGATGTAGCCAACTAGGCCAAGATATTGGGTTTTGATTGAAGCCTCAAAATCCAAATAACAGAACAGGAATATAATTAATAAGTTTTATTAAAAGAAATGCGCAGAAGGTTACAAATATAAGAGCAGTGCAAAAATATGGAAGAAAATAATAATACTAACTAGCCAACCTGGGATACTTAGGCTTTAGTCCTAGTTTTAAAAATATCATGATGGAGCTTAACCCAGCTCTGGCAAGACTGAAAATGACATGAAGTTTACAAGTATGTTCCAAGTAGCTAGGAATCAGCCTGATTCCTAGCTGCTTGGAACATACTTGTAGACTTCATGCCATTTTGAATTTTGCCAGAGCTGGGTTGAGTTCCATCATTAATAAAAGGGGCCTGATGAAGCGCTAAGAAACAGCAAAGCAACCTAGGCGTGCTATTGTTGGTCCTTTGGTTTGTGCTACAGCTAGTCTTGAGCTCACGCTGTATATTGCATGCTTTCTTCTGTAAATTTTTCTCTGCACCATGAGCGGGTGACTGCATCAATCTGAAGAGAGACTTGTACTTTCAAGGACTATTAGGTCCCTATTCAACTGGTGCAGATGTCATTTATGCATGGTGGCAAAACCATTTGGTATGTGTATTATTTTTGGTTCTAAGTAGAACTGTATAAGAAGACAGTAGTCTAAAGTGTGATTTGTACAGCGTGACAGATTATTCTGGCCTGGTCCTGGTTGGCTAATCAGATGTGTTGACCATGTACCACTGCAGCCGACACATATTCACAATGAAGCATCTCACCATTCCCTTTGCACAAATGAGGTGGAATATGACTGCTAAATTCCCTCTTGGTCTCTGGCCTTGAGGCTCCCAGGTCCATGATCTCACTTGCACCGATGCCTGGCTCCATCTCATCCCTGTGTTTCTCTCTAAGTTTCCAGAGAATGGCCTTCAAGTACTTAAACTAGGCCCAAAAGCTTGAACCAAAGTTTGAAAGGCCAAGAAACAGTTTAGAAAAGGCCAGTTACTTGACAAGCCCTGTTTTTATCATATTTGTAGATCTCCATTGTACGTTTCAAACTTTTAACACCCAAACAGCCAGTATAATGTCTTTGTTAGTAGTAGGTAACAAGTTCTCTTGGGGTTTTATTCAGTAACTACACAGTATACCTTAAAAAGACTTTAGAGAAGGGAGCATTCTGCTTCAAGAGAAGGGCACACTTATAGTACTTCTACAAAGCCAACAAAGCTAGTTTCTGACAGGCTACGTATGTTTGAAAAGCCTTGTGAATGGTTTTAAGGGTCTTAAAGAGTTTTTTGTGAGCAGGGATTGGAATACCTGCCTCATAAATACATGAAGCTGTAATCCATGAAGTCGGACCATTGGTCTATCAAGGCCGGCATTGTCTACTCTGACTGGCAGTGGATACTGGGAATTGAACCTGGTACCTTCTGCATGTAGAGCAGATATTCTACCATTGAGCCATGGCCCCCTTATATTTGCCTCCATAACAATTAAACCCCCTGATTTTAGGGAGATGCAGTTTAACTTTGGAGACTGACATTTCTCCTCCATACCTGGAAGGCTGAAATTTAACACTGGTTTTTGTTAATGTGTTGTATGACTTGGATGCAATGTTTTTTATCTCCTTTTGCTGTTCTTTAGGGTGTAATTACTTCATTCTGGGGATGACCAACATGTTACAAGTAGTGGACTGAAGATGAAGTTTCATTTAATTTTTTGTGTCAATATATACACGTATATTGCAAAATATTGCTAAATGGTTTGTTGTGGGCTAGCCCAAGCTCCCTGTAATCAAACCAACCCTTGGGATGATTTTTTTGCAGATTTCTTTCTAGAACCTAGGGAATTAGTCAAAAAATAAATAATGTTTAGAAAGGGCGCTCAAAAATAGACTGAAGAAATTGAGGTGTTTTAATGAAAGAAGAGCTTAAAAGACTCTTTCTGACTCAACCCCATTTATATCCTGTCCTGCTTTGTAATCTTCTAAACCATGTATTGCTGAAATGCAAGCAACCTACGAAGTTATCCAGATCTCTCTGTACAATTGAATTGTCCTGTTTCCTGTGGTGTCCAATATTTTCTTCTTCTTTAGAAAATTAAAGCATAGCTTTCTCTTACACTGGCAGCTCAGCTGGGGGAGGAGTTGCAACTTGCGAGGCAGATAGCAGGTATAATTCCATAGCAGCAAACACTTTAGCACCTGTTTAAAATGTTTAAGAGAGGCCTATATTTGATTTTAATTGTCAAGTCTAACAAGCCTGAAAATACTTCATTAGATGAATGTGAGCATTACCGATATTTTTTAAGAACACAAGAATTTCTCTGTCTTAACTATTTAAAAATCTTTGCAATGCATGACATCGGCAGAATCTTTGGCGTACAGTTGCGGGTCTGTAGATCTTGACTTGGCTCTGGAGCCAGCTGTTGTCTGTGGTTGCCAATGCACCCAGTTTCTCTGACGTGTTCAGAATCTCAGGGGAGGGTGGGGCCTTGCTGCACTTTAGTTTTTGGAACAGGCATTGGCAGTGTAAACAATTTATACTACTGCTGCCTTTTCCAAAGCCCAGTGTGATATGAGAATCCTCCTCAAGTTCTCTGGCATCCTTAGAGGGCTTAAACATGAGATCTCATGTTTTATTTATTTATTTATTTATAGATTTATAATCCCGCCCTCCCCGAATGCTCAGGGCGGCTAACAACGAGGCATAAATGCCAAAGTTAAAACAGTAAAAACAGAATAAAACAATACATCACTATACACTAAAATGTCAGTGCTCTACAGGTCACATAGATCATAAATTACAAGATGGGGTTCTGGAGTTATTATTACCAGACCAACAACATACATCCCAACAGTACTGTCATCTCATCTTCATCCAGGAACGTCTCGCACCCTGATGATTCCTACACAATGGTGGTAGAGGTGCGGAAGTAGAAGATGACGGTGATGGAATAGTGGTGTTGTGCTGAGCTGCGGAGAATCAGGAGCAAAAAAAAAAAAATAGGATGAGGAAATGCCAAATTTTCTACTTAGGCTTCATACAGTAAAATATGTCTTTACAAAAGCGTTCTCACTGTGAAGAGACTCATTGGGGGGAAAAGACAAAAAGATGACATGAAACATTTATATAAAGAAAAGAAGGCAAAAGGCTGGAAGGGAAACATACTGTTGATACATTGGATTCCAAAAATTTGAAACATATCCAGGAGCTGTTACAGTAATTCATTCTGTAGTTTGTAAAATATCACCTGTGAGTGAAGTTTGTCCTAGCTGTGAATTTGGGGAAAGGAGCAGGGAGGGAGGGAGATTAACAGAAATATAACTGTAAATGGCCTTCCGTAACAATTAACAAAGCTTTACACAACAGTTCTGTTGAAATTTTGTGATCCAGAAATGCATACTTGAAGTTAATTCTCTGCTGATTTGTTTTCAGGTGGACCGCAATCCCTTTGAATTCCAGAGGATAAAGAGGGCTGACTAACAGGTTGAAATTAGAGTCTCTTACATCTCAACATGGATTTGATTGGAGAATGAAGAAAACTCTTTGTTATCTTTTTTAAGTCTCCGGCATCTTCTGCTCTAGCAGCAGCAATGGGTTGGCTGTTAATCTAATTTTTTTATTTTTTTGTTCCTGGGAGGACAGCCTGAACCATGAGTCTGCAGGCTCAGCCTAAGTCATCAGCCAAGAGGGCTGGGAAGCGGATTGCATTTTTTGGTGAGCAGAGTGTCCCAATGAAAGAGACACAGCAGCAACAGCTTAAAGGAGGACAGTATTATGGGCATGGAGGGAGTGTACCTTCCTCTCAAGCTATGGAGCTCTCCAAATCAGGGGTATTCACTGGCGTCCCCAGCAATGCTGCTTTGCTGAACTCTATTTATGCTCCTGATAGAGGCGAGTCACGGATGACTCCCCAGCAGCTGGCTACTATCAAGTGGCAGAACTCACTGATGGGGAACCAGGTTGCTGAGAGGGATGATGCCAGTTGGCAGCATCAGCCTGGAGGATGGAACCATGGGATGGTGTATGGAGGCAGCCAGAAAGGAGGGCATCCCAACGCCAGTATCCCAGGTTTCTACAACCATCCAGGTGCCCTGAAAAGAAATCGGGAGAAAGGTGTGGTGGTGTCTCAGCTAGACCTGTATGGAGATGCTGTCCAGCAGATGATGTCTCAGAAAGCCCAGCTGGAGCAGCAAACACTAGCTAGGCAGCAGGCCCAGATGAATTATCAGCAGCTGCAAAAGCAGCAGCAGCAGCAGCAGAGTCAGTCCCTGCCTCTGCAGTCTTTCCAGGTTGCCTTTGGCCACCAGGGCCAGAAGCATCCTGAGCTGTTGCATGTCTTTCAGCAGGCTCCCACTTCTTCCAGCCCAGCTTTCACCACCCAGCAGAAGCAACAAGCTCTTCCACAGTTGCAGCTGTTTGAGAACTTCTATCCCCAGCAGCAGCATCACCAACAGGCAGGCATGCAAGCTTTTGGCATTCAGCAGGCCGCCTCTGTAGCACAGCCTCATGTAGTGGCACCGCCTCAGCCCACCCAGCATCACATGGTCGCCCATCAGTTCCACCCAGTTCCCGAGAGGAACCAGGAGCTGCTAAAAGCCCTAACGGAACAGAACCCGCAGACTGTACTACCTCAAGCTCAGATCTCCCTTCCAAGGAGATCACGAAGACTCTCTAAGGAAGGTGTCCTGCCAGCATCTGCTGCAGAGGAAGTACTGGCATCTAGGCCAGCTGAGGAGTATCCTGGTAATGCGCTGTCACATCACTGGCAAACACAGCAGCATCCAGAAAGTCAGTTTCAACACCCGTCTGAAACACACAACAGCATCAGAGAGAACTATTCACAGCTGAACAAAGTGGAAATAGAACACGGGGAGATGGCAGCTGGTGGTGAAGTGGAGAAACCAGGCACATATGAAAGTGCCATTGAGGGAGAAAGGCAGGTGGCCACAACTGATGGTGTTAGCCAGAGAACTAATGACTTTGGAGGAGTTAGAGGTGGTGTCATCCAGAGCACCCGGAGAAGGCGACGTACTTCCCAAGAAGCAAACTTGCTAACCCTGGCACAGAAGGCTGTGGAGCTGGCTTCTCTTCAAAATGTCAAGGTAAAGGGTATGTCCTAAATAGGGCTAGGCAGGCCCTCTGTCTCTGTTACCTGCAATGCAACACCTTAAAGTTAGCATCCATTTCTAGTTCCTCTCACTCATCTCCTCAGACCATCATGCCAACAAGAGTTTGCTGTTATCAGCAAGTTGTTGTGTTCCAGCGCACACAGACTACTAAATGCAGTTGCTGGAAAACAAGCAATTCTTGTTTTGGAAGTGTAGCTATCTACCACATTTTGCTCTGGGGATGTTTTGCTCCAGGGATTATGAGAGGGTCATGTGGGCCTAGTGGATGGTGACCTTACAAGACCTTTCCATGTATAGCGCCTGCATCACTTGAAAAGGGGGAAAAAATAATAAAGTGCATATTTGCTCTCCCCTCCCCCCCTCTCCAGCATATGTGTCTGGAATGGAAGAAAAGAAAATATTTCTTCGTTTCACAGCAGTTCTGCTACTCCCTTCCATGTAATGGGACTGAGTTTTCATTTGCTTCAGATGTATTTCCCCAGCCCTTCCTTTCCATCTCAGTAGAGCTACGGGGCCTAAACAGGCTCTGTCTTAAAATCTGGTCATTTCAGCAAGTCTTCAGAATCCCCTTTTAAAAGAGAGATAAAATAAAACTTGTAAACACAGAGAGGAAAAGCTGAAAATGTTTTGGCAATTTTGACTAATACATTATCAACCAGAGAGGATTTGAATGGGATTTCTAGCGGTCACAGGGCAGTCAGCTGACTGAGTGGATTTGGTGCCTGTCCAATAATCTGTGTATATCTCTGTTCTAAAAGTCATTATAATGAGTTGGGAACTAGGAGGAGGAAGTGGAATCCAGTATGTAAAGTATTGGACTTGGACTGGGGTATTCTGGGTCATTGCTCAGCTATGAAATTCAGTAGATAGTTTTGGATAAATAACCATGTAACCTCAGTCATTGTAAGGATAAAATGTAGCAGGGCTGAAATGTAATTAATATAAAAATAACACATAGAGAAATAATGTTTTTTTACTTAAAACCACTCATGAAACAGGAATACATTTAAACCAGGGATGTCAAATGTGTGGCCTGCGGACCAAATGTGGCCTGCACAGGGCTCAAAACCAGCCCCCCAAGCAGCTTCCTTCTTCTGCTTCCTTTCCCAGGGCTGCTGCTGCAGCCATACCCTAGCTTGCTTTTTCCCAGCTCCCTCAGTGGCTCCTTGCTTCCTACTTCCTGCCTCTTTCCTCGCTCCCCCCTCCCTTGCTCTCTCTGTCACTCACATGTCCACACCTACAGAGGTAGAGAGAGCTTCGTGGCTGCTTCATGCTGGAGAGATACAAAAACAAGCCTCCATCCCCTCTTCCTCACTTGCGTGCTGTCTCTCTCTCTCTCTCTCTCTCTCGCTCTCTCTCTCACACACACACACACACAGAGAGAGAGAGAGAGAGCTCTGTGGCTGCTTAGCAGGAGAGATAAAAAGACAAGCCTGCCTGCCTGTCCCTCCCTCTCTCTCTCACACACACACACACACAGAGAGAGAGAGAGAGAGCTCTGTGGCTGCTTAGCAGGAGAGATAAAAAGACAAGCCTGCCTGCCTGTCCCTCCCTCTCTCTCTCACACACAGACACACACAGAGAAAGAGAGGGACCACTTTTGCTTTCTTCTCTGGGGTTGCTCCTGGGGGGGGGAGGAGGAGGAAAGAGACAGAGAGAAAACAAAATTGGAGTCCCAGCTTTAAGACCAGCATTCCAGGTATAAGCTTTTGTGTGCAAGCACACTTCTTTGGAGGGTGGGTGGATTCTTCTGACAAGCACAATGTACATTGACAAAATTATTTTGGCTTATTCTGAAAAGTTATTGTTGTTTTTTAAATGATTGGATTTCTCTGTCCTATCTGGATCTGTTTTCTTTCAAAAAGACCCTGATTAGGAATAAGAACACTTGGGGTGGTCCTTGGAGAATGCAGTGATTTCAGATACCAAATGATAATACCACATGTTGGTAATGATACAGGAAAACTAGCTCTCAGTTCAGTCCAGGAGGATGCATTGCCATGAGCTTCATTATCAATTGCAATTCACTGTCTTTCTAATCTCCCTTTGAAATTCCTTTGTAAGAGCACTGTTACTCTTAGGTCAGTAAATGAATGTTGTGTTTTCTAATGCCAGACTCTTATACCCATTTATTCTTTGTATCCTCCTGGACTGAATCCTCCTGGATGGAACCAAGACCTAGGTTTCCTGTCTCATTACCGGTGCTGATATCTCCACACCTACTTCCCCTCTGCATATCGCACCTAATGCAGTCATGCCCGCTATCGCCATTAGGCATCTGAAATCGTCTTTATAAAGTTTATATCTCTGGTAGCTCGTGTTACATTTTATAGCACACATGGCCCGGCCCAACAAAGTTACATTTATGTCAGATCTGGCCCTCATAACAAATGAGTTCAACACCTCTGATCTAAACAGCAGAAACAGAGAGCCAAAACAAGGAAATAAGAACAATTTCCATTGCTTTTAACCACCCTCCAATACTGAATGGTATGCCATGTCTTGGGACAAGAACTGGAGATGTAAATTTTCCAGATATATTGGAGCCATTGAAAAAGACCAGGCCCCTGCCTTTAAATAAAAGTGGCAGTGAGGGGGGAAATTGAAATATATGCAATGCTTATTCCCTTTTCAAACTTGACAACTAATCAGACTAATAGTCCATGTAGTCCAGCATCCTGTCTTACACAGTGGCCAACCAGTGCCTCAGGACAGTGAACAACAGGGCTTAAAGGCCAAGGTCTTCCCCTGATGTTGCTTCTTGGCTCTGGGACTCGGGGGACTAGTGCCTTTGAATATGGAGGTTCCCCTCAGTCACCATGGCTAGTAGACTTTTCCTCCATGAATCAATCTAAACCCCTCTTAAAGCTATTTATTCCTCTGGCCATCACTACATCCTCTGGCAGCAAATTCCACATTTGACTCACTATCTGTGTAAAGTAGTATTTCCTTTTGTCCTGAACCTACTGCCCATCAGCTCATTGGATGCCCTTGAGTTCTAGTATTTTGGGAGAGGGAGAAAAAGTTCTCTTTGTCAACTCTCTCCATCCCATGCATAATTTTATGAACCTGTATCATGTCCCCCCTTAGTCTTCTCTTTTCAGCCTTTCCTCACAGGGGAGGTGCGCCAACCCCCAAATCACATTGGTTGCCCTCCTCTGTAGTTTTTCCAGCTCTGCAATGTCCTTTTTGAGATATGGTGACCAGAACTGTACACAGTATTCCAAATGAGGCTGCACCATAGATCTATACAGGGGCATTACAATAGTGGCCGTTTTATTCTCAATCCGTTTCCTAATAATCCCTAACATAGAGTTTGCCTTTTTCACCACTGGAGCACACTGGGTCGACACTTTCATTGAGCTATCCACTGCAACCCCAAGAATTCTTCCTCTCTAGTCTCTGGAAATTCAGACCTCATTAGGCTATACTTGAAGTTGAGATTTTTTTGTCCCAACCTGGGACACGTCGCTTTACACTTTACCAATGCTGAGCTTCCTTTGCCACATTGTTGCCCATTCTCCCAAGTTGCGAAGGTCCTCTTGGAGCTCTTCACAGTCAGCCTTGGTTTTCACCATCCTGAATAAGTTTGTGTCATCTGCAAACTTGCCCACCACACGACATTCACCCCTAGTTCCAGATCATTTATGACTAAATTAAATAGTACCAGCCCCAATACCGATCCTTGTGGGACCCCACTGCTTACTTCCCTCCATTGTGAGAACCATCCATTTTTTTCCTACTCTTTGCTTCCTGTCATTTAACTGCTTTTTAATCTATAAGAGAACCCATCCTCTTCTCCCATGACTGCTAAGATTAGTCTTTGGTGAGGTACCTTGTCAAAAGTCTATTGAAGATCCAAGTGTATATTGTCTACCGGGTCATCATTGTCTGCATGCTTGTTCACATTCTCAAAGAACTCCAAAAGGCTGGAGAGGCAGGACTTCACTCGGTAGGCTTTGTCCCTCTTAGCAATTCTATCTTTGATTACAGTTTCTACTAATCTGCCTAGCACAGTTGTTAGCCTGACTGGCCTGTAATTTCCTGGCTCCTCTATCTGGATCCCTTTGTAAAAATTGGTGTAACATTTGCTACTTTCCAGTCTTCTGGTACAGTGGCTGATATGTGGGTTAGTAGATCAATTGTCTCACAATTGAGTTCCGTAAGAACTCTCTTGTATGCCCATCAGGACATGGAGACTTAATCGGTTTTTAATTTTCCTTGTGGGCCTTGAACTTCATCTCACCTCAGCTTGGCTCAGTTAAAGTACTTGAAGTATTTCTACTGATTTAACAATGTAAAATGCATCCTTTATAATGTAGCATATTAGGATGTACTACTTGGCAGATTTATGGAATTTGAAAGTAAAAGTGTCTTCATTTTATTTAAGAAAAGTTGCAAATGTACCCAGTATCAGAGAAAGAGTTGCAGACTGCTGCACCCTATGCTACCACGCCACATATAAATTTTTGCTATCTGAGAGGTAGGAAAAAATAAAAGCTGATGGTAGAAGAAAAATTCTGTAGTAAACAAAATAAGGTATTGTTTGGACAGAATACGTAGGACTGTCAGCATACTTTATAACATTGAAAACCCTGAACTCTTTAATCATGTATTATTAAATACATTATAGCATATTGTTGCCAAAATTATATACGTTTAAACAATTTTTGTAATTTTATGTCTACACTATACATTGGAATTATCGCTATGTAACGCTATGTAACAAAAAGCACTCAGGAAAAAGTAATCGGGATCCCCCCCCCGAACTTCACATAGCTAACAAGAATGGAAGAATGAGGAGATCATTGCAAAGAGTTAGTTGCAAAGAAGCAGGGATTCTTGCCAATTGTTGGTCTACCTACTGCCAAAAGAGATTTGTTATCAGATATCTTTCTTTTACTCCTCTAGTTTATGGAACCCTCAAATAGCCTAGCAATACCATGATTTGATAGAGTTGGAGCAGTTAACCTGATCCCCCAGCGTGTGGGATGTACATGTTATAGGTTGTGGGTGGGGAAAATGGCACAAAATTTGGACCATATGTGACTTGGCCAATACATGTAAATGCCCTGCCTGTTCAACTCCTTTTTGAGGCAGAGTGGTTGTTTGTATATCCTGGGTCATATGTCATGTCCTGTTTTGCTGATTCAAGAATTGTGCAGTGTGTGGAACCTTCTGAAGGACAGTTGATGCCCAAACTTTAGTTTGTTCTGTTATGTTTAGGATCAGTTTCAGTGTACAAAAATCTTTGCAGGACATCAGCATTGCCATGACTTGTTTTCATGTTTACATGGAAATTATCTTAAAACTACTTAAACGTATCGAAAGAGGGGTACTACTAATAAACAGTTTCAAAGTAGTTTTCCTTTATAAGTTGCACACAGTGAGAGTTTATAGCCAAGCAACGTCATGTTTATGCAGTGTTAATCTGTACATTATTCTTGCCAATAACTCATTTTATTTTATTTGTTAAATCATTCCTGTGCCACATCTTAATGTGACACAGAATTTTTCTCAAATTCTGCAACTTACCTTGTGTCAAATTGCCTGCTGGCAAAATTGAAATATCTTTAGATATTGGTTTTAGACTTCGTGGCTCATTTGTAGGAAAAAAAAAAAAAAAATTCATCTGTCTGCCAAATTCCATACAGATATTAAAAGTACTTAATGAAGTAAAGTTTCAGAAATCTTAATGTGTCCATGGTCTTTTTGTTCCAAGGAACCAGAAATTTCCGAAGAAAAGAACAAAAGCGAGGTGGCGGCAGCACCACCACCAAGGAGTGTTGTGGAATATGCCAGTTCTCCACCAGCCCCAAAGAAAGCCCGAGAAGATATTATGCCTCTCATCATTCCTGTGTCTGTGCCGGTGAGGAGACTGGATTCTCATGATACTGGCAGGGAGAAAGGTGAAGAAGGGAAGTTCCAGCGGTTCATGACAAATGACCGTGGCCTTTCTGAAAGCAAACCTTCTGTAATAGTCACTAGGAGACGGTCCAATCGCAATTTGAACATGGACATGTCTGCTCAGGTAGGACTGTTTTCAGAATCCTGAAGGTAGGGTGGAACTAATCCTATGAACTAGTAAAGTGGATCTTCCTCTCCCTCCCTTACCAGGTTTTAGCACATCTCTCCTGAGTACGTCATAATATGTGTAGCCTTTTTGTTCTGTGTGCACCTCTAATGCATGTAAGGCAGTGTTGTTTAACTGTAGGTGGACAGGTTGGTTACTACTAGTCAGATTATCTGTACTTTACAGTACTGTGTGGTGGATTCTGTCTTTCAGTAGTCTCTTGGGACTGTAATGTTGACTGCCTCCCAAATGCACACACACCATGTGTTCTGTTGTTGAAACCCTAGGGTATATTTTGGTTTTCTAGCCTTGAAAGGGGATTGTAATCCTGGCTGTAAATGTATTCAGAACTATCTGTATCTAGATTCCTCTCTGCCGTCTTGTGGTTTTTTCCTGTCCCTTATTAAAATGGCAAACCAGCACCTCCTAGCAACTTGGAAAGGGGAATGCAGGGCTCATCAAAGGGCACTTCCATTTGGTACTACCGGTAGTTTGATAAAAACATTTTTCATTAAAAGACAGTATTTCCAATAAAGGTTGCTTCTTGTTGTTGATGTTGTTGTTGTTCAGTCGCACAGTCGAGTCCAACTCTTTGCGACCCCATGGACCATATATTGCCAGGCCCTCCTGTCCTCCACTGTCCTCCGGAGTTTGCCCAATTTCACGTTCATTGCATCGATTACACTGTCTAACCATCTCATCCTTTGCTGTCCCCTTCTTCTTTTACTTCAGTCTTTCCCAGCATCAGGGTCTTCTCCAGTGAGTGCTCCCTTCTCATTTGGTGTCCAAAGTATTTGAGCTTCAGCTTCAGTATTTGGCCTTCCAGGGACACTCAGGGTTGATTTCGTTTAGCATTGACTGATTTGATCTCCTTGCAGTCCAAGGAACTCTGAAGAGTCTTCTTCAGCACCATAATTCAAAAGCATCTATTCTTTGGCGTTCGGCCTTCCTTATGGTACAACTCTCGCAGCCATACCATGCTTTGTATATTAGATGTGTAGATATTTTTTAATTATGCAAGCAATACATATTTTCCTAAATTCTGCAGGTTCTTAGGGTCACTTTAAATGTTATGACTTTATACAGAGAGAGGGCACTTGGGAAATACATGTTTAGGTTGCGGTATGTGAGGGTATACTTCTGTCTTTCAGTGGTTTCTTCCTTTGTAGAAATTCTTTCACTATGCCTACATACATTCTACATATACTGGAAAGTCATAGCTAGCCTCATTCCAACCAGTTTACTTATGCCTGCGGGGTGTGTGTGTGTGTGTGTGTTGGCAGTTAGATGGATATTATAATTTTTTTTTGTAGGGGCATATGCTGTTTTTCTCCCTGAAGGGACCCAAAGCAGTTTAGGGAAAATTCCAAAACCATTTAGACAAATAAAAGAAACAAAATACATAAATCTTTCTGGGCTGGTTTTGGCCCACTGGGCTGCATTCCATGGCCTAAGCCGACAATATTACATCAGTTGTTTATTAAAGGGAAAAAAAGGTATTCTGAGAGAGGACTTTCCTACTAGGCTGTCTGAAACATATGTCTAGGCTGTTCTCTCTATGGTTCTTCAAACAATAACTCCCTCTTGTTTGTTCTGTGAGGCTATTTGAGCCTGTCACTACAGCTCAGGGAAAAATCACAAGGTGAATGTTCTTAGAGGTGATCGAAGTCTAGAAGTGGAATTGGTGGTTAGGAGTAGCTATTCAGCTTGCCTTCTGTGTCTTTCTTGGAGCAAATGAGCAGTTAGAGCCGAAGCTGTGAAAGTCTTGTCTTTTTTCTTTTTTGTTTTAAGGTCCCTTGCTGATGGTGCTGTTATTGATGTTAACTGATAGAAGCAGCTACTTGTTTCTGTTTAGTTTATCGTCTACAGTACAGTCCTAAGGACACTTTCCTGGGAGGAAGCCATACTGAGCCGACTTCAGTAAGATTCTGAATAGACCTGCTTAGGATTGCTCTCTACAGCATTAGCTGTGTCAAATGAAAACATATTTCTCTTTCATAGCATGAAGGCTCTGCTCCAAAAGAAGAAATGGAAGGGTTTGCCCGGAAACCAAAGCAGCGGCCCAGGCCGGAGCCTCTCTTCATACCACCAAAAGCCTTTATTGCTCCTCCAGTCTATTCCAACATCACACCATACCAGAGCCACTTGCGCTCACCTGTACGCCTGGCAGATCAGCCTTCCGATAGGAACTTCGAGCTACCGCCTTACACTCCTCCACCAATACTCAGTCCCGTGCGAGAGGGCTCAGGACTGTATTTCAATGCTATTCTTTCTGCAAGTGGTAACTCTGTTCCACCCCCCATGACTCCTAAAAGTTCACACAGGACTCTGCTCAGATCCAGTAGGTTTCTCTCTATCTATCTTTTTTTTTTGGGGGGGGGGGGGTTAGAATGCTGTGAACATTGACTTCTGTAAGTTTGAGAATTTGTTGGCAAGAGAAATACAGATCTGACCCCAATCATTAGTGCTATGATATATGTGCACATTTGTTATAGTGGTACTTCCTTAATTAAAAATTCTGTTAGAACAGTAGGCAAAGCTGTGTTGTAGGGGGTGCTAGAAAGCAAAAAAAATGTGGCATGATGGAGTGAAGGTCTTAAGACATTGCTCTTGCTCTGTTCTCACTCCTCCCCATCCATTATAGGCGATACCATTTGGCAAAAAAGTTTGAATGGTAGAGAGAATAAATGCGTACTTCTTAATTAAAACCCCAGACAGAACAAAAATGCATTTTAGTAATCTGCTGTCTGCATCAAATAGATCCCAATGAAAGTGAAAAACCTTTGGGGCTGAGATTCATTGAGCATGTCACTGGTTACAAAGAAAACTATCTATGCTTTAAGTATTTCCTTTCAGCAGTGCAAGAAAAGAATAGCAGCAAAGACATCTAGGAGGAAAATCTCAGAAAACTAAATGTTGTACAATTTCACTCTGTGTGGCAATTACAGTTTCCTTTTCAGTGCCACTGGGAGTAAAAATGGCTTTGGCACCATGAGTTTATGCAGTTTACAGTTGCAGTTTGCAAAACATTACGGTGGAGTGGGGCTGGTGAAATACTGCAGGGCAATTCATTAAAGTTGAGGAAGACATTGAGTATAAAGTTAAAGGAGACTGAATACCAAATATTATCCATCTTTTCCTACCTCTTACAATCAGTTTCACCCCATTATCTGTGTGTTCCCTGAGCAGAAGAAAGCAGTAAATGGTTTCATTTCTACTTGCAGACAGTGCAGAAGTCACCCCTCCTGTCCTTTCAGTGATGGGAGAGGCTACTCCAGTCAGCATTGAACCGTAAGTATCAGTTAGAAATAGGTACACGACAATCGCTTAGCACAAATTGGCAGAGCATTTCTTCCTGTCCACTATAGGTGAAATGTCTCAATGAGAGAGAAGCCAGCCATAAAATGTGTGTTAATTTTTTTTCCTGATGGAAACAGGCTTGCTTACCTCTTTATCTTCCTCCAGCTGTTTTCCCTTGCATGAGAACATACACACCTCTTTGCATTGCCTTATGAGCTGAGTCCAAACACCCTTTGACTGTATCCACACATCATTGATGCTGTGTTATTGTTGCGCTGCAGTAATGACTTGCAACTGGATTGTGCTGTATGGTCAAACCAATACAGTTGCAAGTGGTTGCTGTAGCATAATATCCAGTGATCTGTGGATGCAGCCCTTGTTTATGTCTTGCCTCTTCAGATTCTACAACAGAGATTTGCTTTTACAATGCTTTTCTGCCATACTTAGATATTAAATCAAAGTGATTAACTATTAGCAAGTAATGTGCCCTATATAGAAGTAGGGTGCTTGAAAAAACCTGGCTATTCTTGCCATTGTTTGATGTATTGAAGTCTTTAAAATCTCTTTCTACATATTCTGTGTGCTGTTACTCTAGTGAATCACATACAGAGCACTTAACAATCACCCCACCAAATGCCTGAACGTCAAACTCTACATATGGTCACATGCAACAACCTGAATTCCTCCTGAGAGTGGCTGCTGATATGCACACTTAGTTGTAGGCTCTTTTTGTAGCAGGAACTCCCTTGCATATTGTAGCAGGAACTCAACACACCCCTAATGTAGCCAATCCTCCAAGAGCTTACAGTAGCCCCTGTAAGAAGAGCACTGTAAGCTCTTGGAGGATTGGCTATATTAGGGGTGTGTCGCCTAATATGCAAAGGAGTTCCTGCTACAAAAAGAGCCCTGGAGCCTTTTACAGTTTATTCTGCACTGTGTAGTGCAGGAGTGAACTAAGTTGTATGGTCTACTTCCATTTTTGCTAGAGCCTAGTGATTTTCCTTCAGACCACTCACTGCACTCTTGTTGGCTGCAGATACCAGAATGGAATCAAGATGGGGCAGAGGCATTGTAGAAAAAATTTCGTTGTACCACCTGGCCTCACAACTATTAGTTAGCCAACATTTCTGTATGCATTTTAATAAAGATACAGGGGTTTGCTGAGTTTGAAGCTTTGGCACCATGAGTTTATGCAGTTTACAGTTTGGAATCCTGTAAAGGGAGGGTTAGTATCTTGTGAATGCCAGCAGCTGGTAGTGATTAAAGATGTAGATATGTATAGAAGTGGGGACTGACAGGTTCACATCTCCATCTTGCAATGGAAGCTTACTGGGTGACCTTGAGCCAGTCACTCTTTCGGTCTAATCTCCTTCACAGTGTGGTTGTGAGGATAATGGAGCAGGGGGAGTGTATGTGTGCCACCCTGAGGTTATTGGAGGAAGGGGGGGGGGATAAAGACTGAACAGATGTCATCTTCTGCTTCCTGATACATTTCATGATGGCAACTAGTTCAGAGCACAATTAATGTGTTACAAAATTGTTTGTGCATGGTAATCATAAACATACTGACCTGGCACAAGGTCTCATTGCATTTGGTGCAAACATTGCCTAGTAAGCATGCTTAGGAAGGCAATTTTGCAATGTGATTCTAAACAGAGTGTTTTTTTATAACAAAGTCACATCCTTTTCAACTGGTCTTTGTCTAAGTGTGTATAAGACTGCAGCCTTGAAGTCCTATATGTTTTGCACTGGTCCTTAAGGACTGCAAATGCTGCATTCATGGGGATTCAACCCCCCCCCCCGCTTCAGAGAAGAACAGACCTGAGTTCTAGTGCTGAAGGAACATGGAGGCATAGAGAGAGCAGGAGCCCTTTCTCCGTCCAGTGAAGTTGCTGGGCTGCAGCTTTCCAGACAGTTTCTTTTTTCTAGGGATCCTTGTTTCTGCTGAGCCTGCTTGGCAATGTCATAAAGCCCTCCCCTTGGGTGGATCAGTAGCAGTGAGCAACAAGGCAAAACTAGGCTTGGGGTGAGAGTTCAGAAGCTACCTTGGAAGCTGCAAGTCAGGGATATCATACCTCCTCTTGGCCTCAGAACAGTGCTTCTCATTGGAACCTCCATGTTGAAGGGTCTTCCACCTCTTCCACCTGCACTACGGGTGGTCAGACATGGCACCATGATCAGTGGTCTTCCCATCCTCAGTGTAACATGAAGGGGGGTGGCTCTATCAGATGCTGTACAAATGGTCATCACAGTGCAGATGTAGGTCTTCATCCAGAATGAATGTGCAGTTCCTAATACAGCAAAGGAATTTGCTATATGATTGGGCCTCATCTTGGGACAGGAGCTGTGGCTCAGTGGTAGCGTTCTTGCTGTGCATGCAGAAGGTTCCAAGGTCAACCCTGGCATCTCCAGTTAAGGGAACAACTGATAGGTGAGAGGAAAGAACTCTGCCTCTGAGACCCTGAAAGTTGCTGCTAGTCACAGTAGACAATATTGGGCTAGATAGGCTGTGTGTAGGGCAGCTTCACGTGCATGGAAACTTACCTCCTTGTGCATGTTTCTCTGCAAGTCTGGAATGCTTCTGACTTACAGGGGTTGTTAATATCAAGAAATGATACTGAAACTGAAGAGGGAGCCTCAGTTTTGTCCTAAGACTTCAAGTCTTACTCCAGCATTCTTGCCTTAAATCTTTAAGTGTGTTGCTCCACTCAGTTAAGGGGTGGGGGGGATCACCTCTCCTCCTTTTCAAGATGAATCAGGAAAGCAAAAAGGAGCATGCAAGAAAACAATCCATGTATTATTATAGGCAACAGCTGCTGAAATCTGCAACTTAGCCAGTCTCCAAATTAACAGAAGGTTGTCCGCCTGCCATTCAAACTCACACACACTGGCAACTTGGAGTGTGCTTTACAAAACATATTTTTAGCATTGCAGCGCTCATATGATCAGATTCAGCCACACTCCCTGGAGATGGCAGATTTCGGGGGCCCTGCTAATTATACGTATTTAATGCAGAAGCAAACAGGAACAGGAGAACCTTTATTTCTCCTGAAAGTATTTTGGAATACCTCAAAAAAGACTCCTAGACCTTGAGTGTGTGTGTTGGTCTGTTTTGTTGGTATATTAAATTGGGATCCCATCCTTCCTGTAAGGAGTTCAGAGCGTTGTGAAATGGACTTACCCAAAGTTAGTGAATAAGCCTTGAGTTTAGCAGAATGTTAAACCTCAAATTTCCACTCTAGCCATTGGCTCTGTTGTATCCAGATACAGAACAAAATCATGCTTGAACTGTGTTTTTGAGCCTTCCACAACTTCTGTTCAGCAAGCTATGATTTTAAAAAGTATGGCGTGTGCTTAGCTATTATACAGTAGTACATACTTGTACTGTTGATTTAGACATAAAGCCAAACTGAGGCCCCTTTCACATTACAGTTCTAAACTGAAGTTATCCATTGTTGGCCCAGTTGTGAGTAAAACGAGACAGGTATGGAGGTTTCATACAGTGAATTTCATTCTGTTAATGAGCTGTCCCTGAAGCGATCTGGCTATTTCAAACAGCACTGTGCTTTTCCCCATTCTTTTACGCCACGCAATCTTCCTCTTTTAAAAAATAGCTCTTCTCAGTGTATCTCAATGGTGCAAAGGAATCTCAATGGTGCTGTTCAAAGCATTTTAAAAAAAATTAAGGAAGATCACGTGATGAAAAGGGTGCGGGGAAAGCATGGGGCTATTGGAAGCACTGCAGATATTTTAAACATCACACTGCAGCGATTCAGATGCGCAAAGAAGAGGTGAAAACGGAAGAAAGCATTTTAACTCAAGAATGGTTCAACCATGCTTTGCTAACCAGATGCAAGCGGCTTTGTATGAAAAGGTAAATAAAATCCATTAGCAGCCAGTTGCTAAAATGGTTGTGTCTGAAATGACACAACAAATCTGTTCGTAATCGGCTACCCAAATGGATTACAAAGGCTGTCTGAAAGGTCATGCCCTTCCTTCTTCCCACATGTGATCAGAATCGATGAGGGGCTTTTGCTTCTGCTCAAGCCATTGATTGCCATTGCATCCAAACCAGCATCCTACAGTTTAAACTTCTCCTCCAAACCAGCTTCAGACCATGGTTTGGAGAACTGAAACCATAGATTGCTGACATGGATTGAGCTAAAGCAGGTCATTAATTGATTGCCCAAGTATGCATGAGGAAGAGAGAGTGTGCGAGCACAGCACACGTTCATGCAGTGTCAGATGGTGGTTTGGCGTTGTATCACAGCTAACCAACATATGCTTCTAGTGGGTGGCTTTTGAATCTTGCTTCTGTATTTTTTGCATCCTTGTTCCTGTGGCTGTTTGTCGTGTGTGTGTTAAGTGCTGTGAAATTACTTATGGCGATCCTATGAATTAATGACCTCCAAAACATCCTATTGTTAACAACCCTGTTCAGGTCTTGCCAGCTGAGGGCCGTGGCTTCCTTGATTGAGTCAATCCATCTCATGTTGGGTCTTCCTCTTTTCCTGCTGCCTTCAGCTTTTCCTAGCATTATTGTATTTTCCAGCAATTCTTCTCATAATGTGACCAAAATATAATAGCCTAATCATTTGAGTGATTTTAGCTTCCAGGGAGAGTTCAGGCTTGATTTGATCTAGAACCCACTTATTTGTCTTTTTGGTGATCCACGGTATCCGTAAAAACCCTCCTCCAATACCACATTTCAAATAAATCCAGTTTTTTTCCTATCAGCTTTCTTCAATGTCCAACTTTCATGTCCATACATAGTGATGGGGAATACTATCAGCATCTGTAGTTGGGGCATAAACTTGAACGATAGTTCTGTTGATAGGCTTTCCATGAAGTCTGATTGATTTTGCATTATGCCTGTCTGGTTGTTCTACATCTTGCCTCACTGTTAGACAAACACAAAAGAAACAGAGTTGATCATTTCCAGAGTAAAAACACTTTGTTAATTTTCTGACTGCAAATGCCCTAATCCAGTCGACTTTCGTTCACTCACTCCTAGGATTGCAATGTTGAAACATTCCATTTCTTGTTGTATAATTTTGAGTTTACCTTGATTTACACTTCTCATGTTCTGTGTTGCTATTATATGTGTCAAACAGCTTTGGACTTTCCTTTTGTTTGTCTTAGCAGGCTGGCAACCCCTGGCCATCACTCCTGTCTTAAATGTGTAATTATTTTATAGACGTATCAACGTGGGATCCCGTTTTCAAGCAGAGATCCCAGCTCTTAGAGATCAGTCCCTAGCAGCTTCTGACAAGCCCAAAGCGGATCTGGTGTGGCAACCATGGGAGGAACTTGAAAATAACACATCTCTCCAAGAGAACGGTAAGAAGCTTTGAAAATTTGAGCTACAGTAAGAAGCAGCAGAGGATAGATGTGTCATTTACCTTTTTATGAGTGCATGTTTGTAAAGTTGCCATATGGTCTGCCATGCTGTTGTTCATTGACCCAGCGTAAAGGTTAAGCTCAGCAAACAGAAGAAGATGAGACAGAAAACAGACCTGGCAGCTAGAGAAACTGGAAACCTCTTCTTTATTTTAAATTGCTTGTTTCTGCTTCTTTACCTTGCTTTCCTCTCAAAACAGCCTGCAAACAGTAAAAACTATCAACATGTACAGTTTTTAAAAGCTACAGACCAATATTCCAGTAAAATGTAATCAATATTAAATTGACCATTCTTTCAGTTAAATCCTTATCAGCCTGCTGTAATGCATTGCATTTTCATTAGTTTCTGAAACAAAAATAGTCTTTTGTTGGTTTTCTGTGGAGAAGGGCCACCACAAAAAAGATCCTGCCAATATAATTTGCATTTGAGTGGGTTGTTAACCTAAGATGTCAATTTACCATATACATGATAGAAATCACATTGCTTCTTCTTCTGAAAGATCATTCCCCACTGACAACAGCTTGAAAAATATTTAAGTGTGCAGTAAGATATATCCTAGCTGCTGCTGTGCCATAAATTCCCTAATTTGTCTACTTCCTGCACTGGGGGTTTTGTTGTTGTTCAGTTGCACAGTCGAGTCCGACTCTTCGCAACCCCATGGACTAGCTCCCGCCAGGCCCTCCTGTTTCCCGCCGTCCTCTAAAGTTTGCTCAATTTCATGATCGTTGCATCTATGACACTGTCTAACCATCTCATCCTTTGCCGTCCCCGTCTTCTTTGACCTTCAATCTTTCCCAGCATCAGGGTCTTCTCCACTGAGTGCTTTCTTCTCATTTGGTGGCCAAAGTATTTGAGCTTCAGTTTCATTATTTGGCCTTCCAGGGAACAGTCAGGGTTGATTTCTTTTAGGATTGACTGATTTGATCTTCTTGCAGTCCAAGGGACTCTCAAGAGTCTTCTCCAGCACCATAGTTCAAAAGAATCTATTCTTCGGCGCTTGGCCTTCCAACTCTCGCAGCCATACATGACTACTGGGAATACCATTGCTTTGACCATGCGGCCTTTTGTTGGCAGGGTGATGTCTATTTTTTATCATGCTGTTTAGGTTCACCATCGCTTTCCTCCCAAGGAGCAGGCGTCTTTTAATTTCATGGCTGCTGTCACAGTCTGCGGTGATCTGGGATCCCAGGAACGTGAAGTCTGTCACTACTTCCACGACTTCCCCTTCTATTTGCCAAGGAGTGATGGGGCCGGATGCCATGATCTTAGTTTTTTTGATGTTGAGCTTCAAGCCCACTTTTGCGCTCTCCTCTTTTACCCTGAGCAAGAGGCTCTTTAGGTCCTCTTCACTTTCTGCCATTAGAGTGGTATCGTCTGCATATCTGAGGTTGTTGATCTTTTCCCCAGCAATCTTAATTCCCACTTGTGATTCATCCAGGCCAGCATTTCGCATGATGTACTCTGCATATATATTAAATAAGCAAGGCGACAATATACATCCTTGTCGTACTCCTTTTCCTATGCTGAACCAATCAGTTGTTCCATATCCGGTTCTAACTGTCGCTTCTTGGCCCTTATACAGGTTTCTCAAGAGACATGTGAGGTGGTCTGGTACTCCCATCTCTTTAAGGACCTGCCATAGTTTGTTGTGATCCACACAGTCGGCTTATATTCCAAATCAAAACAAAACTTGTGCTCTCCCTGAAGTTGATCAGTTAGGGGAAAAATAAATCTTATCTTCAATTAAACATCCATCCTATAAAGGGAGGAATTAAGCTTGTTAGTATTTATTCTATTAACGAAGATATTTATACCTCATTTTTCTTGCTAATAGGGACACTAAGCAGCTTATAACATTGTTCTCAGTGCCTTCATTTTATTCTCACGATAACTCTGTGGGGGAGGTTAGGCTGAGAGAGAGTGACTGGCACAAGGTGAGCTTCCACGGAAGGATGAGGCTTCAAACCTAGATCTCCCAGATCTTATTCAGATGATCCTAACCCCTATACGATGCTCTGTAGCTCTTACAAACTAGTTGATTTTTTTTCACTCATTCAAACTTATACTCATATGCACTGAATTCTGAATTCTGTGCCTTGAACTTTTAAATTGTGAGAGCCAGGTATGTTATATTATAAGGGTGCAGGGAGCTTTCTACTGACAGAAGATACCTCTTCTTGCAAAGCAAGACTCCTTGTGACTGTGCAAGGGCCCACCATTAGCAGAATAGAACCTTTTGGATCCAGCTTGTATTCACTTTGTTTTGGAAAAATTTGGGCCCTTGTGAAATTTAGGCATTGTTAAGGAAGCACTGTATCTACTGAATGGCAAACAAAAGGGTCCTCTGAGGCTGGGGAATATGCCCTGGTCATGCATTTGAGAACGTAACCTTTCTTAAGTTACACTAAGTTCTGTGACTGCTTGATAGTGCCGGAATGTAAGGGCAATGCTAATGGATTCTCCCTTGCCTCCATTACTCAGCCAGTTAGTGCTAAAAATTACTTGGAGGATTTTCTTATGGAGCGAAAGATTTCAGGCTTCATGTTGATTACCAGTATTTCTTTCCTGGTTCTGGATGGGACAGTTAGTGACAACATAGCAGTAAGAAGTAGGGGGCTTCAGCTGATGCTAACTGGAACAAGGCAGCATTAAAGTTTTTTAGTTGTTTATCCCCAGGAAATGTGTTGTTGTTGTTGTTGGTGGTCTATGTATAACTAAGATTAAGGTAAAAATTGGGTGCATCTCTGAACAGATGTTTTCATTCTTTTTACCTGCCTTTTTTTAATTGGGTGCTTATTTTATCATGTTACAGTGGAAAATCTGCTGACTGCTGCTTGTTCAAGTATATTTCCTGGAGGTGGTACCAATCAGGAGCTGGCATACCACTGCTTACATGAAGCAAAAGGAAATGTTCTGGTAAGTCTCCAGTAGTTGTTGCTGCATTGGACTGGACTTGAGTGGTTGTCTGGCACTGTTTGCTTTGGAAGAAGTAATGACACTAGCCAAACTTACATTGCCTTTCAAACTTTCGCTTTCTAACAGAACTGAGGTTTGGCCAAAACAACCCATTCCTGATAAACCTCATATTATGCCTTTCTTTGACGCGCTTGGCAAAGAGATAGAATGTTTCTTTGGCTCCCCCACCTTCCTGTAATCTTTCTTCTGGCCATCACTTTCTTAGAAATGTGTGGTGGGTTTAGGCTGGGTGCTACTACTGGCTGGTTTTTACAAGAGTATGCTTTATTAGCCAATAAAGAGGAAGAGCAACAAACTAGTGCAACTTAGCAATAAAGCTTTACTTTGTCAAGAGAGCCACTCCTTTTCTGATTACAGTATAGGATTCCATTCTTAGAGATTTTTAAATTTTTTTGAAGTGTATTACTGACTCCTGTGGTCTTTGGGAAACTCTAATTATTTAACTCTTTGCCTGCTTCTTTGTAATGAAAATGTGTCAGCATAATTGCCAAAGTGAAGTGCACAAATAGATCCATTGATTGTCTGCTTGCTTTGGAAAATAGCTTAGCTGAGTAAACTGAATGATTAAATATTGGGTGTTAACTGGCTGTGCCAAGTGTCATTAATTAAGGCACAGTCCTTGGCTAGGAATTCTTCTGTACTTGGGCACGTGCTAATAGAGATCATTATAAAATAAAATAATATGTCAGTGTATTTGAAGAAATACATTACATTAGAAGTACTAAATCCAAGTTAGAAAGAGGAAAAAATAATCCACTAGATAAGAAGAATGTCTGGATAAAAATGTTTAGTCCTGGATCTAGAAGATTTGAGTAGAGTGTCGCTTGGCATGTCGGTGTCCCTCTGCCTCAGTTCACTGTACAATTGAATGGACTGTGGCAGAGGACCACTTAACTTGTCAAGTGCCGTACTGCTTAGGCCTGCTACTTATGGCTGAGAATATAAATAAGGATTTCCCCCCTAAAATGGTAAATAACCAGGACTGAAAGTTGAACAAGGTACATGTCATTTCATCTTAAAAAGGTAAATTCAGACATCTTTTGCTACAAGTCACAGTCTGGTTATGATATGCTCAGTGTAATCGACAGAATGCTGCTTTGCATGTTGCTCTCGGGGGGTTTGTTTTCTTTCCCTTCTTCTTCTTCTCTGTGATGGCTACCCCTCCGCAATCTACCTCAAAGGATTTGTGACAGAGTCTGTTAAGCAAGCCTAATCCACTTTGAGCCTTAATACTGCACTGAGCTGTGAATATAAATGAATGACTGCAATAAGTAATGGAGATTACACTTACTTTGTGGCAAGGTACCTGTTCATCTTTCAATGTTTTGTTATAAAATCAGTTAATCTATGGTTTTTCCCTAGGCTGCTCTGACCAAAATGCTGCTGAAGAAGTCTGTGCGGTCTCCAAACCACCCACTGGTGGACTATCACTACACGGGTATGCCGAAAACAACAACGTGGGCCTCACTGATTTTATTCCCCTTCTTCTTTACTCTGTCACTTACCATTTACATATAACAGACTTCAAAAAGTTATAGTCTTGTGGAGACATGCATTTAGATTTGGGGGAGGTTGCTTTGGAACTAAATATGGTAGCTTCTGTTAGGAGTTGTTCAGGTGCTGCGCTTCTCCATCCTTTGCCATCCATCTTTGTACACTGGAAATTGGGTCAAACGTGAAGCTCATAGGTTTCCCTTCACTCACTGGGAACAAAACAATATCCAGATTTAGAGATCTGTCCAGTAATAAGTGTAATTCAGTGCCAAGGTACTAGCAAGGGTCATACCAATTTATCACTTGCTTTATTGCACACAGTGGTTTTCCCAGCAGAGCAAAAAAGGCTTTCATTTTGATCTTGGAGTATATATGACAACTTGCTTGTTAAAATGGTGTTAAATATATTGCATGTGGACATG